ATAAATATGGATTTTAGCAATAAAAGAAAGCTTTGATCCTAATTCGATTGATAGAATCCACACATTTACTACATTTGAATCAAATGACTTGATTGATATGCGCATTATTAAGGCGATATAATTCAATTAAACGAATATTACGAATAATTGAAAAAAAAAAAATAATGTGTTTAGTTCATTTGTATGAATGTTCTAGTCGATTAACTATCGACGATGACCATCTCGAGTCATTAGAAAACGAGAAATATATGGATTTACTGGGGAGAGACAAAAGGGAAACCGGAATCCGGGTGTCATCAATATGAATTGATAGAATTTTCTACACAAATACAATCAGAAGCAATTAACGTTTTTTTTATTCGTCCAAAGCGATGTCAGCTAAAAAAAAGAACTCTCGAAATATCGACATTGATGTGGATTTGAAAATATTTCAATGATAAATGATGTATTTTTCCGATAAAAAAAAGTATGCAAGGACATTAAATTTGTTGATTGATTCCAAAAATGCTTCATCCAAAACCAATATATTTCTGACTGCAAACGGCTATGTGGAATTTTCATAATAATGAAAATTTCATGGGAACAAAATCAATTTCAAATGCAAAAGATATTTGCTCAATTATTTTTCATTTTCAACAAAAACAATAATAATCTTTTAATAAAGTGTGGAAATGTTTCAAGTTTATGAATTCCCAAATGTATCACATAAAAAATTGATTGTTTGCCATTTTGTAGTATGGTGGTTTTTCTGTTCAACAACATTGTAGCCCATCTCATTTTTTCTCGTCATTTATTATCCTCACCCTCGCTTCTCTCCCTCTCTCTATGCCTTTTTCACTCTTAGTCGAACCAATTAATTAGCCTTAAGTCATAAATTTTTTCATCAAATAGACAGCGAATGTATATGTTAAATCGGGCAGAAATATGAAACAAGTCAACAAACACAATGTATCCAACGCACCGGACAAAATACATAAATTTATTGTCATAAACTTAAAAACGACCGATGAAAATTTTAATTTATAAAGCATTTTCGATAACGCCAAAAGTTTTTGTCGACTAAAGTACACGGAGAAGATGTGAACGAACGCAAAGGGACAAGAAAAAAAAGCAAGCAGTGCGGCGGAGCAACGGTTTTTCATCAAAATTATATTGAAATGTATTGCTGTAATAGAATCTATGGCAAACTAAGATGCGAAAAAGTGGCACGATATGGCTTTGGTGGTGAATAAAAATGAGCGCATCAAATTAATACCTTCTTCTATTCCCAAAAGAGTGCAAAAACAATCGAGCAAAGTGAATGTGCGATGTTGGCCAAATACTTATGTCAGACCGCAGACGGTTATTTGATGGTTGCACGAACCACCATCCACAAAGAACATAGAAACAAAGTAAAGAAAACAAAAGACCAAACGAGAATCCCGAAAAGGCACATACACCCACGACTAGCATAAAGAATGTAAATGCGAATAAATTAATATTCAATTTTTTGTGCATCAGTCCCTTTTTCCCGCTATTTTGTTATGATAACCACCTTCATTACCGTCGCTGACTTTACCATTGTCTTATGACTATAACTAGATGCTAGCTGCTATATGCACGGGATTTTCTATCTTTCTTTATGTGTGATTTTTTTTTCGCCACCGAACGCATTGTCTGTGTGTTAATGTATGTCTTACATTTGGCTTAAAGATCTTGCTACACGAATATCTTTGATATTCACATAGCGAATATAATGGTTGATTTTTTCTTATTTTCCATGATTTTCTTTCTGTCGTCGTCACATGGTGAGTGCATCCTATTACGGCTGAAGCTCAATACCTCATTTGCATCGTAAAATATTATTTTTAGGATAAAATAATTTTTAATGCATTTCTTTTGCAACCCCATCCATTGTTCGATACGTTCGTTGGCGTTTGATAGAAGGCGAGTAATAGCGAAAGGGAACGCGATATTGTCTTGGTTAGGTGTCAGATATGAAATATGCACGAATCCAATATCGATAATGTATTCAACAACTGAAACCTTTTTCATATGTACTAATGTTTGCCATGTATTATTTCAACATTCTTTGTCTTTAAGTGCATCGTCGCATCGCCTTCTGAGATGAGAATTATTTTGTGATGTGCCGGCAACTCTGCAGGAGCAACAGCTCATACCCAAGAGCATTGAATCATTCTACGTATGTTCTTTGCTCGTTCTTGGTATTGGTTTTCTTTTTCTTCGCTCATCATTTTAACAATGTAAGCGATGCCAATCCATTCGATACGTATTCCGTTTTTTTACCGTTTCTCTTTATCTTCTTCGGTTTCTCGTTTCATGTAAGCAAAAAGCGTGAGCTACAAAATGCTTGACGATCAATCATTTTTTGCAAGTATCTTCTTATAGCAATTTTACTAAAGTAGAAAGAAACTATGTGTTGATGCAATTAATTTTTCACGATAATGGAAATTTGCTAATGCATATTCAAAGGCGAACACGTAAAATGATTGAAGCGCTCAAGAAACGAAATACCCCTGTTACTGCTGAATATGCGAATGCTATGCAATGCCACAACAAATATCGACTGAAATGACGACGGCGACGACAACGACGAAAGGTATAGGAAAATGTGCACACAATACCATAATTAAACAAACTCAACTGTGTGATGTGTGCAAAAAAGTAATTTTCAACACACAAAAACGCCACTGTATTGTCGTTAATGCATTGTGAAGTTTTGAAGGAAGAGCGTGTGCATTTCAGCATGTGTGACTAAAGGATGTACAAACACGCCGGCGTTTTCTCTCTCTCTCTCTCTCTCTCTCTCTCTCTCTCTCTCTGTTGCGATACACAAAAAGAAGAACCCTTCATTTCCCAAAATATAATTTTAAATGACGAAAGTTTTCGTGTTATTGAAATTCTACATATTCCAAGACAGTTAATTAGTATTCGAGTATTTGTTGCTGTCTTGTGCTCATTCGTTAAAGGTATTTTACAACTTCTATCCAACTTTGCATGGTTTTTTTTGTATTTTGGTTGATGGAAAAACCTCGACGCGCCTTCATTGAATTAGATAAAGGAACTTATTGTTATCACGAAGTGCAACTCCATGCATCCGGATAATGCGCCGTGTGTGTATTATTGAGAGAAAGGCGACTGTATATGTTGGTTTACACTTTCAAAAAACTTAAATGAAAACTTGTGTGAAATATCAACCGCAAAACATGCAACAACCAGAATATTTTTTTTATTCTTGAACGCATCGAGGGTCGTCGCGCGATTGAAAATTAAATTACCCAAGACAAGTACTAGCACCCAACCACACAATTTCATATTCACATGTTATAAACAAATTCACCATAAAATATTGTTGGGTAGCACAAAAAAAGTTTTTTTTTCGTGTGTGTAAATGTTTGTTTCAATCGACTTCCAAGGAATCGTTCACTTCTCATTCTTTTGATGAAGTTTCTCTATTTCCTTTTTACCATTTACATTTCGTACACATTTGCCATTTGTGTCTATTTCGTTGAACATTTGAAATATAGAGACAAAGTCGAGAAGCAGCTGCAAACTATTTTCCAAAGTATTAAAGTAAGGGTATTTAGCTCAGGCGCCCTTTCCATTGTTGTGCGCTGCACTCTTATTGTACTGCTTCAAAATTTCTTCTTCGGTTGGTTTTTTCTTTCGACTGCCAACATAAAAACATGCTAATAATTGTACAAACATATTCATTCATTCAGTGTCGTCGACAAACTGGCATTTTGTATGGATCTACGTATTGATTCAAAAGCATATGTTTCAAACGATACGCAAACAAATGATGTACAATGGAATGTGAATGCATGGGGAGAGGGACGAAAAAGAACCGACAAATACTGAATGAACAACAGGGGTGGAACTTGAAATGAAATGGCACTATTGGGCATCACAATTCCTTGAACATACACGCAAAATACAAACACTTTGAATGCCATTCTTTCACTGTTGCTTGGCACATATTTTAATTAATATGCAAAAGATAGATTCATTTATTGAGCACAGATTTTTTGGATTATTTATTCGAAATGTCAACTTCGATTCGGACCACATTACTACTAGTAGAGGTTTAGAAAACTCATCGGAGTTTGGAATCCATTGTTCCTTGAAATGTGCATATATGATGATTTTTCTCTTATGATTGAATAAAAAAGTATCAAGACTCATCGAAATGTTAATTGAAAAAGTTTTCAATCCTTTTACTGCCATATATTTAGGTGTAGAAAATAGATTTAATCACTTCATGCATTCTCAAAAAATATACCGTATATGAACGTTTAACGGTAAAAGTTACAAGAAATATTTTACGCTGCAGTACACGATGAGGATGTTGTCGTGGTTTCGTATCACTCATAGCAACGTACTGCCAAAAAATAATGTAGAATATGCAATATTACAATTTGGGCCCCAAAGTTTGGGGTTTCATAAATGTTCTGCATTTTATTTTCTTAATGCAATAATATCTTGTAAGTAGAATTTAAAAATAGTTTCTATCGTCTTTTCTATTTATACTAATATACTACGCAAAAGTAAGCCAAACTTAACTTGTTAGAAGACACATTTACGTATAAGAAGCAAAATTTTCAAAATATCGAAATTGACTTAAACCCATCCATACTGAAGAAAGTAAAAATTTTCAGGTCTTCATTTGCAACGAGAAAAGTGCATGAGTTGAGAAAAAGGGTGAAATTATTTCTTAATTACTGTACTCAGTGCACAAAAAAGTTTAGAAAAAAAAACTCTCTTTTTCAATTTGGGAATCGATTAATTAAAAATCACTATGAATATATAATATTCACATAATGCAGCGAAAGTCTTTTAGAATAGAGAATAGAGAAGCCCCGAAAAAGTATTCATCAAAGGCCTGACTTACAGTATATTCTTTGAAAATACATTTTATATGCATGTACAACAATTTAGGCCAATAACATGAATAATAATTTCGTTTGATGTTTTTCATCGAGTGATTTTTGTCATTTCAGTGTACGAAACGGAATGGGGTAATTGTTGTAGTGCTTGTGTGATGTACCGCTTGGAAAATTACAATGAGCCTGAAGAAAAACACCACCAAACATACGATGGTAAGTCATTTTCTTCATTTACATATATATCAAAGTTGTGGTTTTTCATTCCATGTGTTGCCACTTTGTCAGTATACCTTATGCCCGCCGCTTTTTTCCCTTATGTGAAGAATTGATTCAATTCACTGGTTAAACGTTGCACTTATAAATCTCTCGCATTTTTTTTTCTCTTTCTCTTCCTCTTCTACAAAAGAACGAACAGAAAAAAAAGAGTGAACGAATGAGCGAACCAACGAAGCAAGTCAATACTTTTGAAGTGATAAATTTATGATATTTTGTTTTTGTTTGCTAACGGATTTCCCATCGAGTGGGAGTCAATTTAGCACACACACACATAGAAAGGTATGCATGAGTTACAATGGTAAAACGCCAATGGATTGAATTTATGATGTGTGTGTCACTGATGAATGATAAATATCCAGAGGGCAATATCGCCTATCTTTTTTTTCTGCATGCATTCTACGCATTGCAAACACAACGAGGCATATTCTTTGTGACAATGTTTTGTCTGGTGTGCAGAGCACGACATATACGATTATGGATTTGCATAAATCTAATTTAATTATTTTTATGGTAACTACCATCGATGTAAAAGCGTATCTATGAAATAAATGTGTGAGTATGTCTCCATCCCGGCGGGAAAATGAAGGCACTTGATAAAAGTGAAACGAATACGCACGGTTTTAAAGGAGTAAATGAAAAAAAGAATGAATATTTGAGAGAGATGGTCCCCCCAAAAAAAAGTTGTTTGAAAATTACAGTGAAATTGAATTTAACCAAGAACGTTGCTAAAAAGCGAAGACAACTAAATGTGTAAAGGAAACTCTAGCTGAGTTCATAGATGGCCAGGAGACTTTTCGAAATCGAACATAAAGCATTCGAAAAGGGTGTGTTGCACGTTAACATTCTCCATTTAAAACGAATAACAGTTTAAAACTTTCGTGATATGGTATGTCTACAGGATACATAACATGCGCCAATGTCCTTTTATGTGTGCGTCACTCCATTGAAAAGCTCCAAAACCTTCCAACATCAACAATGGAACGGAAAAAACCTTCAATGTTCGTTTTCAATGGAGAATATCAACGTGTAAAATTGCTCCATCTATTGAACGTATCGTGAATTTGACTCAAATTCGTCCTTATTGCGGTAGTTTTTAAAATTGACAAAAACAAACGGAGAAAGAAATTAACTCGCATTCAATTAAAAATTGAAAAATAACAGAAAATCAAATTAAAAATAAAACATTTCTTCATCATTGTTCCTTATGGGTTTTTCTCAAATTATCCTTTGCGATCCAAGTCATAAAAGTTGGTAAATTAAATTGAAATTCGAATTGAAGCTATTTAAAGAAAAAGAATTGCATCTCTTATATGATCGAGTGACGTAGTATTTTCTCATACAGGTTGTTGTATCTCTCTCCATATCTCTCCCTTTTACTCATGATCTCTTTGCGTAGCAAAAGTTGTTAAAAGTCCATAATCAAATTACTTGTTTTAAAACAGTCGGATGAAATTAAAACGTGTCAAAGAACAACGAACTGTGAACGTTACGTTGTTTTCACTGTAAATGTTTCCCATCAAACTCTCAATCTCATTCACTCTCTGTGTGTGTCTTCTCTATTATCATTTGCAAAGTGCAGAAATGGATATAACAGCAACGGATGTAATATGTGACAAAAGTAAAATTGTGTGAAGAAAGAGGAAAAAAAATTGTTAAAAAACGAATGGTTCTCACTTTCTCAAGAAGACGAAAAATGTGCGAAATGGATCGTACAATGTAAAATGGTAATGTGTATATTTGGCATAGCACTTCGTCACCGTATGTTTTCGTATAGCTTGTATAAGAATGAAAACAGAAGAAATAGAATCACCGAATAACTTAAAAGAATTCACATTGCTCAGCATTTTGGCACTTACATGCAATATCTATGCAAAGACATCCATTACATTTTTTCTTCTTCTATTCATCGTTCTCACGACTTCTTCGTGGCCCAGTGCATAAAATGAGCGCAAGCTATGTGCGCGCAGAGTCAACAAAAAATAAATAGAGAAAATGGCATGTAGAATATTGCAGATAAAAGAAATAACCGTCTAATGATACTTGGTGTCACAATAGGGCAGCAAAGAGTTTTTTTTTTTGGCGTCGCTATAAGTGAAATGAGTGTGCAAGTGATAAGAAAAACGCGCGAGTGCGCGACAACGACACAAATGTATGCAAATTTGAGAGAAGAAAAAAAAAACATTTCACAAAAAAAACGGCGACTAAGAAATTGACACCAAGAAGAAGGCCAGCGTTAAAACGCCATCGACAAAAAAAAATATGCTAACGAAGCACACAGAGGAGACACGACAAAAAAATCGAGCGCTAAGAAAATCGCAGTCGAAATTAAATGTAACATAAAATGATGGAGGAGTGAAGCACATGCGACAATCCGCAATCAAAAGCGTTGATAATTTTTCGCTATTTAAATTTAATGGGCCTTCTCTGGTTCTGGTTGTGCGACGCTCAAATGACAACAATCATTGCAATATGTGCAGTTTTACAAGCACTTTTTTCTTACTTCATCTCATGCCATTTTTCTCCGGTTCGCCGATCGCCAACTTGTGAATTTGTACGACAAAGCAATTGTCATGCAATTTATGGGTCTGTAATTCGACGGCATTTTAACAAAATTAAGGACATCTTTGACTGTTATTTTAAGTGTGACATTATGAGTTTTGTGCAAGTGATTGGTGGGAGGGATTTCGTTGTGCTTGAATTGGTATAGTGACAATATCATACGCTTATTCTTCACGTCTTCCAAAGCACACTCACTTGGTATAATGAAAAATACGAAAGATAAATAAACAGTTTTACCATACCAAACTGTGTATCTAATCACACAAGCATGGCTACAACCGAAAATGATTGCGTAATATACTGTTGAAGTAAGCAAATCATCAAATCTCTTGTCGAATCATTCGTATCGTCACGAATAGTCGACTCCTTTTTGTCTCTATGTGAAAGTGGCACAAAAAATCTATGGAAATTCTTGTGTAAATATCAGCTCATGTGAAGTACTTCGAGTGTCCATCAATACCAAAAAGCGATAAAAACTCAAAATTGTATGATTGTATGTGTAACCACTTCCACTTTGCGGCGATTCTTGACTACGAGAAATATGATACACAGTAAATAACCTGTTTGATTTTGCTTTTTTCCCTCGTAAACACTTGAAAATAAGCATATACCATTGTGGAAAATTGATTTCTGCATTGAATTGCTTAACTCTGGGCGAACATGCTTTTGCTGTGACACGACACATACAACGCACGTTTTAGAAATCCAAAAATCGTTTCCACCATAAACAATCACACGAAGTGTGTGTAAATGATCTGTGTGTTGGCGCTTGACTACAAAATTATCATAATCTACACGTGCCATCTTATTCTACGAATCAATCGGGAACGGTCGAAATAAAAAAAAAATGTTTCATTTCAAAATTGGTTTTCATCCCCAATGGACTTCAGTTCTTCATTCGAAAGAGACTTTGATTTTTTTTCCTTCATAACTGAGTTGAGAAGATGAAAGTAAAACGAAAACTTCGCAATTGAAAATAACAATTTGTTGAAAACTATGCTAACTTCCACATTATACGATGAAGTAGTATTCATGATGCAATTCGTTTAAAGCAATTGCTTTGAATCGCTTCTCTGGATCAGAAAATTAAAATTGTTTTGGTATTTTAATTTCAACAACTTCATTTCAGCAACGGCAATGGAATGGATACTTTATCAAACAAAGTGCATAGAGTGAACATATTTTTGCATTACATCCACATACAAGATTCCATTGCAGAGAAGAAACTGCTTCGTTGTTAACTTTTAATTGGATTAATTTGTATCTTCCGCTGTTAGTTTGTAGCTATTTCAATATTGTTCTCAACGGCACGCTGGATTTTCTCTGCAGAAGAATCTTCGTTGAAATAAGATTCTTGAAAATTCCAATGTGATCACATTTCGATTTAAAATTGCGAGATGCCAATAACTTCAAAGCACTCGCTTTTTTTCACTTTTGTCAAGAGGGAAAAAAATCATGTTTTGAATAATGACTTCCAATTAAATGGTTGTCATTTCAATCTTATTTTATCTCAAAATGCCACTTTCGACATTCTCACAAAAGAAAACGGACGTTTGATTTCATTCTATGCTTTACAAAATGAATCTTTTTCCCTCTTTGATTGGCTTTGTTATGACCAGTCATCCATGTTTCAGTTGTGAATGAAAATGAATCCCATGAATCACATTGTGTGACCCATGCGTCACAAGCGACAATCATCGATTTTTCAACATCAAGCCGGATAAATGAATCATTGTCAAGGATGGCAAGAGAAAAAAATATTCACCCATAAATAAATTGAAGAAAGCGCAACTGCCAATAAATGATATGCTCAAGAAAGAGAGAAATGTTTCAACGTTTCATTAAACACATTCAATTGAAATGATTCGTTAACCCCATCATTGATGTTGTTCTTGAAAAATTTTAAAATTGTATAGGCTCTTCTTCGTAATTGCTAGTACTTTGGGTTATCATTTTGGACTAATTGTATAGCGGTTGATTGCTCTTAATATTCAAAGTGGTAAAACCAAAAACGGCATTGTCAACACACAAAATGGCCTATTGTTTTTTTTTAGTTTGATACAAATTTTATCCGAAATCTTGTGATTTCTTTAATTAAGACATAAAGGTGCTTTCCATTCATTGTTTCTGTCATTCGTCACAATAAACGACGTAAAAACAAGTTAGTGGTGGCTGCTCCGAAACGATAACATCAAAACTGCCGAAAAATCATGAACGAAATACAAAAACGACGATAAAGAGATTAAATTGCCATTCACCATGGACGCAATTTTCTGAAAGGAGTTTATGCTTTCTTTATGTTTTAAGTATACAAAGCAACGGCGCCTTTTTGGTTTATTCACATTTGACAAAAAGATGACATTGTTATACAAAACTCA